GGGCTCGCAGCCAATGCTCTCGCCCTTCTCTGCCGTCCCTTCCCTCGACGCCACCCTCCCCCTCAGCACCGCCACTAGTGTCCATACCCCTCGCATTCCACCCCGCCCCCACTGCCATCCCACCCAACCCCCGCGCCGCCACTGCCGTCCCTCCCCACTGCTCCCGCCGTGCTGCCACTGCCGTCCCAACCTGCTCCCACTGCCCGCCTTTCTCGCAAGTACGTGTCGCTGCGCTGCAGCTGATGACGAAACTCGGCCGCCAGCCGGAAGACGGCGCCTGGCCGCGACCAGCCGGCGAGTGCACACAATTCTGGGTCATGGAAAGAACTCCATCACGCAGCGCCTGCGGCGGCCAGCGGGGCCGCGACAGTTGGCCTTGAGCAAAAATGGCTACGGAGGGGCCAGCAAAAAACAAGGGAAAGGAGAGAAAGCAAAGAAACTGAAAAGAGAGGGGCGAGGAGAGGAGCGAGGAGCGGACAGCCGAGGGAGGAGACGGACGGACGCGAAGGACACGGGCCGATCGACGGGGAAGGGGAAGCCGAGGGCAAAGAAGGCGGCACAACACACCAAGGGGGAGGGCAAGGCACGAAGAGAAAAAGGGGCCAGCCGACAGAGGAGACAAGAGGGAATTACAATAGGGACCCGACCACAAGAAACCTGCCGCAAAAAACCCAACCCTGAGACCCCAGGCCGTCCATTGATTTTCGGTGTGGGAACGTCGCGCTTCCCACATCAAAACCATCGGAGCCCGAGAAGCCCAGGGCACCCTGGCGGCAAGCAGGGCGTGTCTTGGCATGGGCCTCCACTGCAACCAGGAAGGAAGAGAAGGAGGCTGAGCACCACGGCAGGGGCGAGCAACTGGGGGGGACCCGAGGGCGGCCGAAGGCCTGCCATGCCGGCCGCGCACGCGCAGGCCGTGCTTCGGGGCGGCCCAAGCGAGCGGCGCTCGCCGCACCCGACCGGCGGAAGCCCCCCCGCAAAAGGGGGCCAGGGCCGCGCGCCGGCAGCGCCTGGCACCCTGGAGACTGGGAACGGCGGGGGAAAGGAGGGGGCGACGACGACGACGACGACGACGACGACGACGACGACGACGGGAGAAGAAAGAGACACGAGCGGAACCGGGCACGCGGATCGCGTTCCTGAAGGCCGCGCCGCGGGAAGGGGGGGGGCGGCGGGGAGAGCCCCTCCCGACGCCGCCCCCCCCCTCCCCGAAGCACGTCGGCGTCGTCGTCGTCATCGTTTCCGTCGTCGTCTCTGTCTCCTCTCGAAAAAACACGGACACGACGACGGGAGAAAAGCGCGACGAAGAGGACGAGGGGAACCACGCAGGCGGACCGTGCCCCTGAAGGCCGCGCCACGGGAGAGCGCGCGGAGGACACACCCCATCCCGCCGTTGCGGCGGGAGGAGGCCCAGGATCGCCCAAGAGGAGCCTCAGGCCGGGACGTCCGCCGGCGTGCACAGGGAAGGCCGGACCGCCTCCCCCTGGGAGCAGGGCGCCTGCCCGGGAACCGTCTTTGAGGGCCGACGGATCCTCAGAACGCGCGTGTTCATGCCAACGTGTGCCTGCCCACCGAGGCCCTTCCACACGACGCAGGCGCCGTCACTGAGGGCCGAAACGGGCGGCGTGCCAGCGGCGGAATCGAGCGCGGCAAGCACACACACACACACACACGCACACACACGCAATGGGCCGACACCTCCTGAGCATCGTCGAGCGGGCGGGCGAGCAATCCACCCGGGCTGCGCATCTTCCGGGCAGATATGAGGCTAGGCGAGCAAGGCCGTGGCCCCCTTTTTTTCTCTAGCATGTCGCCGCCGCCAGCCGATGGGGTTCCGCGAGGGCCCCCGCAGCGCCGCCGCGAGCCTGACAGACCAGGCGCAGGCAAAAAACACACACACACACACACACACAAAAAAAAAAAAACAACAACAAAAAAACAAAAACAAAAAAACAAAAAAAAAAAAAAAAAAAAAAAAAAAAAAAAAAAAAAAAAAAAAAAAAAAAAAACGTCGGTGTGCCGCCACACGCTTGAGGCCGCGTGCTCCTCTCTGACCTGCGACGATTGTGTGTTTCACATCCGACCGGTTTGCCACGACTTCGGAATCAGGTGCCCGTTTCTAAGGCCCGGGACCATCACATCACCAACGGGTCTGGGACGGAACAAAACAACCCTGGGGAAGCGATCTCCCCAATGGGGTCGAAGTAGATGGGGTCGCCAGATCGCGCCACATCGCGGATGCATCGGCGATGCATCGGCGATGTATCGGCGATGCATCGGTGACGTCGGCGACGCAATAGCGCCGTCGGCGTGGAGAAAATCGGGCTCCAGATCAAGCCGCATCGCCACTGCATCGTCGATGCGGCGCGATCCTCCGACCCATTCTACTCGGACCGCATTTGTGAAGCCTCGACAGGTGAACCTTACCCCTGCAGGTCGGATGATGTAGGTAAAAACATGAAGTAGGAAGGCGTTGGAAGTAGATCGGGTGCCCGCCGCCCCTCAAGGAGGACGGAAAAGATGAAGCCACTCGATCATTGAAGAACGAAGGCGCTTAAAGTAGATTGGAACCTGGGTACCCCTGCAGGTCAAGCTTCGGATACGCCAGCTGAGGCTCAGAGCTTGCAAAAGGCCCGCGGGCAAGCGAACCCCAGCGGGGGCGTCAGACTCCCCGAGCGCCGGCTGGACCGGTTGGAAAAAGTGGGTAGCACCTTTTTGCGTCGGCGGCAAGGCAGGGGTCGTCACCATGCAGGAGGAGGGAAGCGGCGGAGGACGCGCGCGAAAGAGGGGGCAGAGGGAGCGAGCCGCTCAGGGGGACGGGTCACGCCCCGAACGAGTGGCGCGGCCAGCCCCGCCGGCGGGCCCGCGGAAGTGGGTAGAAACATGGAGTAGGAAGGCGTTGGAAGTAGATCGGGCTTCCGCCCGCCCCCCGAAGAGGAGGAAGGGGGGAAACTGGTTCGACGCTTGAAGATGGAAGGCGGCTCAAGCAGATTGGGATCTGAGAGTCCAAGAATATTGGATGGAGGACGGCGGCGGGGCCGCAGCCCCTCAGAGGTGGTCCGGCCACCCTGCTCCTGGTCCGTGGGGCAGTCGCTTACACTCTGCGGCGAGCGAGGGGGGGAAAGTTTCGGGCTCAAACTTGGAGGTTCGAGGTTTCGGACGCTTTCGTCGGCTCTCGGCGGTGTTCCAGCCTCAGGATGTTTGCCAGCAGCTGCGCCTCGCGGCGGGCGTTCCGGGTTGCCCAAATCGTCCCGAACGGCCGCCAGAAACCCGAGTTCTGATACGAAAACCAAATTCAGCAGCAAGCGAAGGGGGGAATGAGAAACAGAAGGCCTTCTAGGCGGCGGGGCTTCTCAGAAGCCCTCGCGCCTTCTGAGAGGTTTTCTGTGACTTCAGGGGAGGCTCAGAAAACTTCTCAGAAGACTGGGTGACTTCCGAGCCTTCTGGAAGGCCCGCCCCTTCTCACTTGCCCCCCGGACTCGCCGCCGATACTCCGAATGGCACAATCATCGCCCACCCTTGGGTTCGGAGGGGTGCGATGGGGCGCCGTCGGGGGGGGTGAAGGGGGGGGGGATGGCAGTTCTGAAGCTCAAGTTCCTGGGCAGTGTGGGGGGTGGGGGGGGGGAGAATCCTGGACGCGCGTTGGGGGGCGGTGGGGGGGAGACGGAGACGCTCCGTCGGAAGGTTCGTCGAACCCCCCCCCGATCATTGTGCCATCCAGAGTAGCCCCTTGGCAAAATTCTGGATCCCAGGAATAAGCTTTGTGACTCCACTTGCCCGGGCTGCCGTTGGTTACATCATGTGCCCATCATTCCTGTCATCTCTCTCTTCCGTATGTCAACCCAACTGGCACCGGCGGGGGACCAAAAGGCGCCGATACCGCCACTCCCCAGATTTCTTCCAGGGTGCGTTCTGACCAGGATTTCGAGGCGAATCCAGCTGTGGCGACGAGGGCCTTCCAGGAGGCCCAGAGAGGGGAAAACGAGGCAAGGGTAGCGGTATGGGTGCCTTTTCCTCCTTCCTCCTCTGAATTCTTCCTGCCTTCTCCTTCGTGTGTCAACCCGACTGTCATACAGTCAACCCGTATAGTTAGGACGCACGATAAGCATGCAAGGGCCTTGGAAGGCCACGTCGACACTTTGCGGACGGGGCGCGGCCAGCGACAGCGGCCAAGGATGGGCCAAAGGGGAAGGATGCAAGTGTAAACTTGGAAAGCTTCTCATCCTTCCTATGCGAGCCAGCAGCTTGGCGCATCTCTGTGTTTGATGTTGTGTCTCTCCCTTCCGCTCCCTCTTCCCCTCCCCCTCCTCACCCTCCTCGTCCTCCCCCTGCTGCTGCTGGCGCGCCGCTTTTCCTGCAAAGCGGTGAGAATAGGCAGGCAGTATCTTCCTTTGCCCACGCGCTCCAGCGTATGGCATGATATCCGACATCCTTGCTATGCGGGTTGACTGTAGCCCCCTTTTGCAAAAGATTGCGCGGCGATTCGACGCCTAGGCCCCGACCTTTGGTTGACCCAATAGGGGGTCCAGCTGAAAGGGGGTGGTGTAATAGAGTTGGGGCAATTGTAATGCAAATGTACTGCGCCAGAGAATGTTGTTGCGTTGCATTGCGAACACTGCATTGCACGCGAGAACATTCAGCGGTACGTTTGCGCACCGGCATGTATGGCACGCCCCAGTTCTATTGCAACCTGACAAATCTATTGCACCAAATCTACAGTCAACCCGTATCATAAGGATGCGCGGTAAGGATTCAAGGGGGCCTTGGAGGTCCAGGTTAGCGTTATTCGAACGAGGTTGGCCAGCGAGAGTCGCCAAGGATGGGCCGAAGGGGCAAGGATGCAGGGGCACCCTTTGGAAGGTTGCCCATCCTCACTATGCGGGCTGACTGTATTGCGCCACCTCTTTTCTCTGGACCCACTTGGGTCAACCAGAGACCCGCCACGCACCGCCCCCCCGCGAGCCCTCCGCCGCGGCGAGCCCCCCCTCCGGGGGCGCCGCCTGGGCGGGGGCGTGTCGGCCCGCGTCCGCGCGGAGGAGAGGCGCGGCGCGTCCGGGCCCACGGCCTCTCCCGCGGCCGCGGGGAGGCGTAAACCCAGACCCCCCCGATCTCCTCCTCCTCCTCCATTCCTTCTCCTTACAGATAACTCCTCCCTGTCGCACCCCGAGGCCAGTTGTCAGGGCGGGCCGGGCGTTTCGCCTGAGACTCCTCGCCAATTATGACTCTGAAGCTTAAAGGTGACAACAGGTTCACAGACGGAGGGCGGGTCGTTTTCAAAATGTGGCTCTCGCCTTAGCGCCGCGCACATTCGCTTTCAACATTTGCAAGAGCTTCACGGGTTGAAAACGAGTCGTTTTCAAAATGTGGCTTGAGCCTTAGCGCCGCGCAAATTCTTTTTGACAATTTGCAAGAGCTTCACGGATTGAGGGCGGGTGTTTTTTTCAAAATGTTACTCTCGCCCCAGCGCCGCGCACATTCGTCTTCAAAATCTGCAAGAGTTTCACGGATTGAGGGCGGGTGGTTTTCAAAATGTTGCTCTCGCCTCAGCGCCGCGCACATTCGTTTTCAACATTTGCAAGAGCTTCACGGATTGAGAGCGGGTCGTTTTCAAAATGTGGCTCTCGCCTCAGCGCCGCGCACATTCGTTTTCAAAATTTGCAAGAGCTTCACGGATTGAAGGCGGTTCCTTCTCAAAATGTGGCTCTCGCCTTAGCGCCGCGCACCTTCATTCTCTAAATTTGCAAGAGTTTCACGGATTCTCCTGCTCAATGGACCAGAAAAGGTGTTTTGGAAGGATTCAGGATTATGCGGGTGCAACAGTTATGTTGATTCGCGGTGCTGAAATCCCAAAAATTGCACTCTGGCACGATTCCGGATCGTCAAGACGCAGCAGTCAGGTTGATACGTGGCGTGGAAATCCCGAGAACCATGTTTTGGCATATTTCAGGATCTTCAAACGGTTGTCCTCCAACGAGGCAGTTCCCTCAATGGAAATGAACCGTTGTGGGGGCCAATGAAGAGGGAGCTTGGAAGGAGGGTTAATTCCAACATCGTTGATGACTCTTGGTTTTACACTGGTCCTCCTCCTCCTCCTCCTCCTCGTCCTCCTCGTCTTCCTCGTCCTCCTCCTCCTCCTCCTCGTCCTCCTCCTCCTCCTCCTCCTCCTCCTCCTCCTCATTGGTAGCCTCGGGGAGGGAAGGAGGACCCCCTCGCGCTGCGCAAAAGTCACGACGGGAAGTCTTTCACCATCTTCAGCCTCCGGGGGCCCTTGCCGGGCCTCGGGGCCGTCAAAACGCGGCTCAGGAGGAGAAACCGGTTCAAAGGGAAGGGGTCCATGCTCCTGGGGGGTCGGCGCTGTGGAAGAAATCACGACGGGAGGTTTTTCAGTATTTTCAGCAGCCTCCGGGGGCCCTTGCCAGGTCTCGGGGCCGTCAAAACGCGGCTCAGGAGGAGAAACCGGTCCAAAGGGAAGGGGTCCATGCCCCTGGGGGGTCGGCGCTGTGGAAGAAGTCACGGCGTCGGGGGTCTGGGAAACACCCTGAGAGCTGGGCGCTGCAGGCTCTGTGGCGCCGGGCGTTCTCGCTCGGTCTTGGGCCCTGGGGCCATCACAGATCGATGCGGCTCGAAGAGTGCCGCAGGAAGATGGGGGTCCAGGGCTCCAGTCGTGATGTTTCACGACGTTGCAACTTGTCTGCTGACGTCAGATCTCATGCAGGCTGCCGAGGGGGCGAGGGAGGAGAGACGGCGCTCGATGAGATCGAAGCCACCATGGGATGTGCTGCTGCGCGTGCGCGTTGGGCAAGGGCGAGGACTCCTTTGTCCTTCGCCCGTCTCTGTCCGCCCCCCTTTCTCCCGCCCCGAAACATCGGGCGGATTGGGCCGTTCCAGTCCAGGCGTGCTTTTCCTTCGCCGTCGGCCTGGCTGAGGAAGCCGCGAGCGGCGCCTCGGATGGCGCACCACTTCGCGAGGGGTCTCTGATCGGCTTTTGGGGTGGGTCTGATGTGGGCAGGTCTGACCTGGAGCTGTCTTGGAGGGACCGGAGGTGGACTGCAGTGCGGGGCTCAGAGGTCCTCCGAGGAGGCGGGGTCGGAAATGACTCGCCCCGGAAGGTTCTGGTCCCCCGCCCTTCCTACTGTGACGACACGGGAAATCCAAAGGAAGCTCCCGCGCGGCAGCGGAGCTGGCCAATGGCGCGCTGCTGGCATCGCGCCTCCTGGTAGGTAGCCATGCCTTCCCAGCATCCACTTTCGCCGCTCTCCGCCTTGCCCTGGACGCGTCCTGGGGTGGACCTGGGGGGGGTCCCGTGGAGCGCCCCAGTGATTGTGACGACCCCCCTTTCCCTTTCTTTTCATGAACGTTTACTTATGGGGCGTTTCGACAGTGGGCGGAAGGGGGGGAGGGGGGGTCAGCTCCAGACCTCTGCTCAGTGCGACTGTTTGCAACAGTGCGTCCTACGGGGGAGACTCCATCCGCTTGAGACAGACGAAACAAATAGCCACCGAGATCTACTCCAGGGGGGGGGGGTGCGACGGCCCGGGCCGATCGGCCAAACAATGAAGAACAAAACGATCGCTTTCTCGCCCTTCACGCTTCTCTGTTTGAGCCGTCGTCGTCGTCGCCGCCACGGGCCTCCCGCCCGGGGAGGAGCCGCTCGAGGCCAGGCAGGGGCAGAGAAGGCAAGAACGAGGCGCGCACGGAGGCGCGCCGTGCGGCCCTGCGATCGCGAACAGCATCGGAGTGGTTTCGCCAGCTATTGGCCATCGTCGCCGTCGTCGCCGTCGTCACCGCCGTGAACGCCGTCGTCGTCGTCGTCGCCGTCGTCGGCGTAGTGGCCGTCGTCGCCGCCGTCGCCGCCGTCGTCGCTTGGGTGGGCTCCGCTTGGGCATGGTGTTTCCACTCGGTTACGATTGGGACAGCCATGGGGACATACTGACACTATGGTACTATGCACCCTCCTCGGAGGCGCGCGGCAGACCCGAACACTTCGTGCAAACGTTGCCCGAGCGGTGTGGCCGGGAAGCGCCCGCTACCGAGCACATACAACAAGGTGTCTGAGCGCGAGCGTTCGGTGCAGCGCCTCGATGCGAAGCTACAACACATGTACGCTATTCACTGGTAGTCCTCCAGCGCTCAAGTGCCCTTTCCAATCTTTCCCTTCCCACCCCTGTTTCCCCTTTCAAGTCCGGGCGCCGCGAAAAGACATCCGATCATATCCCGTTTCGGGCCCCTGGATCCAGGCGGCTCGACATGGCTAGCCTGTGGACTGGGTAGCTCTGGTGACGTATGTTTCCCCGCGGTGTTGTGTTTCGTATCTCTAAGGTCAAGGAGTGATGACCTTTAGGAGCCGAGGCATGATATACCGCCCTAGGGCACGGAACTCTGTGGAATCCCTGAAGACCTCGTTCGTGTCTTCCACGTCCAGGCGTATCGATGACAAGTACAGCGTTGCTGCTGCAGCTGAAGATGCGGAAACCGTTGTTGTCTTTGCCACTGCCGCTACTGAGCGACTTGGCTACACAACGTCCTTTGTTTCCCGATCACTCCCTTGCATTTCAACAGCTCGTCGTTGCAACTATCTGATTGACCGCACCTCCTCTGCTCAGACCTCTGCTAAGATCCCTACGCGACCTCATGCTGCACTAGGGCATGCCAAGCAAGGAAAAGACCGTGCGTGTACGTAGACGGCGCGGCCTGGCCAGCAGTCTTGATGAGGTGCGCCGCCGCCGCCTTCTTGAGCTCTTGCGCCATCAAGTCCTCCGCGGAGGGGAAAGAAGTAGAAGAGAGAAAGAGAGAGAGAGAAATTGAAAGAGAGAGATGCACAAACCTGAACCGGGTCCCGAGCATCCTCCTCTGCTGTTCTTCTTTCGTCACAGCCTAGATCCTAAACAGGATAGTCGCCCCACGGGGAAGATAATTGCCAAAAACCGCTCAACCTATCTTGCTTCGAGCGATCCCCACCGAACCTTCGGAGTTTGTTCCAGAGTCTGGCACTGTTCGCTGATGTGGCCAATCTGAGTTCGGCGCGCATGTAACGTTTGACAAGACGCCGATACTCGGTCGCTGCTGCATTCTACTCTATGACATTTACGTTTGGTTATGCTCTATTCATATGTGGCATGTTACTGTGGCCAGCCTTCCGTCGGCTTGCATGTTGCGTTTGACAAGACAACGTTATTTGGTCGCTGCTATATTATACAGTCGTCGTGTGTTATGTGCACTTATTATTCTGTTATACTATATTGTTGTCGGTTCTGTTCTGGACGGGCTAGCGTTACGTCGTGACGCCTGCCACGCTTGATACGTCGTCTAACCGATCGTTGCTGCGCCTCTTTGTTTCTGTGGCCAGCCTGATCTCGGCGCGCACGTCGCGTCTGATAGGGCACCGTTACTCGGAGGCTGATATTCTCTTGTCTGTTGTGCTCAACCATGTTCGGTTGTGGACGGCTGGGGTGTCTTATATTATGGTATGTTATGCGACGCTCCCTGTCCTGTTCTGTTGTGATGCTTTCAAAGCTTCTCGTAATATACGAGTAGCCAGAATTGTCTTCTGGCAATTTCAAGCAGGTGTCATATGATGGTCCAGCATGTTCGCGTGTCCGGACATGCCCTCTCCTGTTGCATCACCTATATAATGCTATACAGTATCCTGGTAGTGCTGTCAGACTTATACTCTCACTCACTGTTCCATTAGTATGGTATTGCACATTTACTTTCTGAGGTTGCACTCAAATTGTTTTTTTGTACCCTATTGCTCACAAGTCCACGATTTTGTCGTGAGATACATGCATGACGTGGTGTGTTCTTTTGTTGCTGACATGTGCTATACTGTCATTGTCAGGCTGAGTACCTCTCTCACTGTTCTCAGAAAGGGAATGGGCAATATGCGTATGTACTGAGATCCGTCGGTCTCCGCTACAGAATATACAGTTCGAAATTGCACTATACTATAATATGAAAACACCTGGAAGTGCATGAAATCACTTGTGGGATATCCGAAATATGATCTCTTGTGGTATGCCCAGCAATTCTGCTAAATAGATTATGGTGCTGTCTCATGATATGGTATGCGATGCGGTGTTATAGTATGTCATGGTATGTCGTGGTGCGCGCTGGTACGATATGTTGTGCGTTGTCAGCTGTGTGGTGAAATGCATTGTTCACTATACTATACTATGCTATGCTGCGTCGTGGCTGTCTTACACAGCTGCGACTAGTGGTTGTAAGTTATACGATACAGTTGCACGATACCGCAGTGGCACCAGTAGTAGAACATGCCTGGTATGGTATGCTATGTTCAGTCATGGCCCCCTCTGGTATGCCCCGCTGTGTCATTGTATGAGTTGCTATGGTACGGTGTGAGCTTGTACGCGATCGTGTGATATATTGTATTATGATATGTCGTGATACGCTGTGTTGTGCTCTGGTGCGTGCTGGTATGGGGTGTTCTGGTACGACTTGCCCATTACAATATGGTATGGTATGCTATACGCCACCGTGCCGCGAGGCGCAAGGGGCGTGTTCCGCAGGCTCTCGTGCGCTCTCGGTCCTGAGTCCTGTAATATATAGTGTAAGGGCTGGGGCCCCACATTCTCGGACTGTTGGGGCTCCAGTTAGCAGGGCGGGACCCTGCGAATTTGCCTCAAAGCATACGCACTCGCTGCTCCTCCCCTCAGTAGCATAGCGCGGCTCTGCCCCTGCTGCCTGGCCCCAAAGCAAAGTTCCCCATCTTGCCCGGGCTCTGGGTAGCAGAGCGCCGCTCTGCCAATCCCACCAGCCCTTTGGGCGACAGGTGGTCGAACGAGGGTCCATTTCCTCTTCCACAACCCCTCTTCCCTTCGAGAAGGGGAACCCTCCCCCTCCTGTCCCTGAGGTTTGTTGGGGAAGGAACCGATGTGTCAGAAGGTCCTCCTTCTGCCGCTAAGGGGGGCCACTTGTTGGCACCACTCACAAGGATCGTGGCCCCGGAGGGGGGGGGACATGTAGTACCCCCCCCTTTTGACCGACCGCCTCCAAACGGCCACAACAGGAGCTCCAGGGCTCCCAGGAGGCCCCCAGGAGGGCTACAAGAGCGCCCCAAGAGGCCCCAATAGGGCTCCAAGAGGCACCCGACAAGCACCCAAGAGGCCCCCGAGCGGCTTCTCAGAGCCCAAGATGACCCCCAAGATGGCCCAGATAGCCCAAGCTGGCCCAAGATGGCTCCCAAGATGCTCCAAGCGGCCCCAAGACCGCTCCAAGACGGCTCGAGATGGCCACGGAGCCTCCCAAGCCTCCCTCGCTGTTTGACTGTGCGTGTCTCTTCCTCTCCCCCCCTTGTCAACTCTCATGGGCATCGTTTCTGGGTGGGCTGGTGGGGGTATTTTTTGGTCAACAGGCTCGCGAGGCGGGTCGAAAGCCGTCCGAATACTAGTCGGGCCGCGATTAGACAGCAGGAAAAGAAAGGCAAGCGAAGCGAGCGAGCAGGCAGCCACTCAGAAGGAGAGCCAGATCCGATACTCCCAAACCCGGTGGCGTTGGAAATCCCGGCGGCGACCAGCAAGTAAGCGCAGCCAAAATGGCACGGCGGCGCGACCATAAACACGCAGAGGTCGATCGCTCGGTGCGAGTCAGGCAAACAGCACCGTCAGAGACGAACAAGACCGACAGGAACACCCAGACGACATCCGTGAAGTAGGCGACACAAATGCCAAAGCATCGTGTCGGCGCAAGAATGATGGTGGGGGTACTTTTTTGTCGCAGCCGCAAGCGAAAGCGCAGGCGGCGTCAAACGGGACGGGCGGGCCAGGCGCGAACCTAATTGCCCAACGCGCCAGCAGACAGGAACCTAAGCGGCACCTCAGCGGACAGGGAGCGCGAGGTGGCGCGGGCTGCAGCTGCCAGGAGGCCTCCAGGCGGCCAAGATGACCTTCAAGATGCCCACGTGTTCCCCGCAGGCTTTCCAAACCGACTCGGGGAACACATGGTCCGATAGCTTGGCAGGCCTCTGGCCTCAACGTTCGGCCACATAGGCGCTTCCAAAAAGACAGGGGGCGGCGGTGATTCGCCGTAGGCGTCTTCGATCCGCCGCCCCATGTCGATGCATCGCAGGGGTGCCTGGCGTGCTGGACTTATTACGGTTTGGTTTTGATTCTTTTTCCACAAGAACTCCCCCTGGCGCTTCGGCCCGTCCCGCCGGGATCCCGGGAGGGAACTCCAGGCGCGCAAACGACCTCAACGTCCACAAAAAATTATCCAAGACGGCTCAAGATGGCCTCCAAGATGCCTCCAAGACGGCCAAGATGGCCACAAGATGCCTCCAAGACGGCCCAAGATGCACTCAAGACAGCCTAAGATAGCCTCAAGATGGCCCAAGACGGTCGAAGAGGGCTCTAAGAGGCCTCCAAGAGGTCCTCCAGGAGGGCCCGAAGAGGCCAAAATCACTGATTTGTCTTAGGTTTTCGAAGGATTTTGGCATTTGCTTCTTCTCGGCATTCCGACGGCTCAAGACGGCCCAAGAGGCCCCCAAGATCGCCCCAAGATCGCCCAAGAGGCCTCCAAGAAGGCCTGAGACGGCCCAAGAGGCCCCCAAGACGGCCCCAAGATGGGCCAAGAGGCCTCCTAGACGCCCTAGATGGCCCGCCAAAACGGTCCTGGAGCACCCCACGAGGGCCCCAAGACGGCCCAAAGAGGCCCACCAAACGGCTTCCGACGGCGTCAGACGGGCCAGGAGCCCACCAAGATGGCCGAAGTTGGCTCGAAGCTGGCCCAACACGACCCAAGAGGCCTCCAAGAGGGCCTCCAGGAAGGCCAGAAGAGGCCAAAAACATTCATGTTCCTAAGGTTTTCAAAGGATTCTGACATTTGCTTCGTTTCGGCCTTCCGACTGCCCGAGACGGCCCAAGAGCCCCCAAAGATCGCCCAAGATCGCCCAAGAGGCCTCCAAGATGGCCCCAGAACGGCCCAAGAGGCCCCCAAGTCGGCCCCAAGAGGCTCCCAAGACGGCCCAGGAGGCCTGTAAGACGCCCAAGATGGCCTCCAAGACGGCCCTGGAGCATTCCAAGAGGGCCCCAAGTCGGCCCAAGGAGGCCCCCAAAACGGCTTCCGACGGCATCAGACGGGCCAGGAGCCCACCAAGACGGCCGAAGATGGCCATAAGATGACCCAAGACGGCCCAAGAGGCCTCCAAGAGGGCCTCCAGGAAGGCCCGAAAAGGCCAAAAACACTGATTTGCCTTAGGTTTTCGAAGGATTTTGGCGTCGGCCTTCCGACGGCCCGAGATAGCCCAAGAGCCCCCAAAGAGCGCCCAAGAGGTCTCCAGTATGGCCCCGAAACAGCCCAAGACGGCCCCGAGAGGCCCCCAAGACGGCCCAAGAGGCCTCCAAGACGCTCAAGATGGCCTCCAAGACGGCCCTGGAGCACCCCAAGAAAGGCCCAAGTCGGCCCAGCCTCGCCAACCATGTTCCCCGAACGCTTTCCAAACCGATTCGGCGAACACATGGTCCGATAGCTTGGCAGGGCTCTGGCCTCAACATTCGGCCACATAGGCGCTTCCAAAAAGGCAGGGGGCGGCGGTGATTCGCCGTAGGCGTCTTCGATCATGTGAAATGCTCTGTCATGCCATAGCATGGTTGCTAGTATAATACATAGGTGCCCGTTTTCTCATGTGTTATTGATGCCGATGTTTCACACCCCCTTGCCCATGCGTCGTGACGCACGCCTCCCCCTCGGGGCTGTCTGGCATGCAGGGGATCGTCATTCGTCGAGGACGCGAGGCGAGGCAATCAGGGATTCCCGGGATCCTGTGGAATAGAGAGGCGGGAAGCTCAAGAATTCAAGGGAACCTGTTGGGTCTGGCGACCGCGGTATGCAGGGTGGGCAGGCGGGAGTTGTTTGTTTCGAACATGTAACAACCCCAACCTGTCGGGTGGGATATTGCTGCCTGCCCAGGCGATCAGTCCGGACGTAATCGAAGACAACGCTGGTGATATGTAGAAACCTTTTTCTCGCCATCATGAACTTAACCGTCATTCGGTCTGTATGCACTTGAGCTGACACCACCCACGCTGCAGCCGACACCATCCACGCTGCAGCCGAACTTGTCGATGCCCGCGTGCCGCCGTCGCAATGTATCATAAAAGTCGCCTCAACAAGGTCAACGCATGGATTGGCCGAGGGAGACACCTCCTTCCAAGATCTCTGGGCGTCTATCGCCACATTGACAAGGTGGTCGGCGATATGATTGGAATCCCGGCTGTCCACAATATCGGATCATATGTGTTCGAACTGGCGGCATGCCCCTCAATATGAGATGTGCTAAGCTCCGCGTTAAAGGACTGAATCCAAAGATTTAGCCGTAAGTGGGCATAGAACCATAGTACCTTGCACCAACGGTTCTCAACCACCGCTGATGATGACAAATCCGCTGCGTGAGCGCGCCTCCTCCTGCACCTCACCATCCTGATCCTCATCCTCCTCTGCGGCACGACTGTGCCGAGCACCTTAGGGCAAGAGAGCCCAACCAGCAGCGAGAACCCACCGCTGGTCAGGACCGTCTGGAGCAGTTGGCACTATGTCCTGAACCTCCGCGACTCTGCACCCTATCGTAGTACAGCCATGGCATCCCAGAGTACACGCGCTGGGCTAGCACGTTTGAGCTGCATGTCGGCTGCGCACCTCGACAGTCGTTATGTATTAAACGCATTCCTCCTCCTCCTCCTCCTCCTGGTCCTCCTCCTCTTCCTCCTCCTCCTCCTCCCCCTCCCCCTCCTCATCCTCCTCCTCCTCCTCCTCCTGTTCATCCTCCTCCCCCTGCTCATCCTCCTCCCATTCGGGAACAGGGGCCATGGTTCCTCCTCTTCCTCCTCCTCCTCCTCCTCCTCCTCCTCCTCCTCCTCCTCCTCCTCCTC